TTCCCAGGATTTTTCCCAATTTTTTTCCAAAATTTTCCCTGATTTTCTTTTTTTTTCCCTGAATTTTTAGCGATTTTTTTTTATTTTTCCTCGATTTTTTCCTCATTTTTCCCTCAATTTTTCCCTGAATTATTCCCAAATTTTCCCCAACTTTTTCTCATTTTACCCCAGAATTTTCCCAATTTTCCTTGTTTTTCTCACTATTTTCCCCAATTTTCTCACATTTTTCCCTATTTTCCCTGCGATTTTTCACCCATTTTTTCCATATTTTTCCCTAAATTTTCCCCCTAAATTGTCCTGAATGATTCCCAAATTTTTCCCAGATTTTTCTCATTTTTTCCCTGATTTTTTGGTAATTTTCCTCCATTTCCCCCCTATTTTCCCCAAATATTTCCTTCATTTTTCACCTAAATTTTTCCAGGATTTTTTCTGAATTTTCTCGAATGTTTCCCAAATTTTCCTGAATTATTCCCAAATTGTTCCCAAATTTTCCCTGAATTTTTCACTATTTTTCCCAAAATTCCCCCAATTTTTCCCTGATTTCCCCCCCATTTTTCCCTTGATTCTTCCCCAAAATTTTTCTCAAATTTTCCCAAAATTTTTCCCGAATGTTCACAAATTTTTTCTGAATTATTCCCACTTTTTTAATCGATTTTTTTCCCAATTTCTTCCCATTTTTTCCTGAATTTTTCCCAAATTTTTCCCATTTTTTCCCAAATTTTCCCCCAAATTGTACCCATTTTTCCCCAATTTTTTCCTGATTTCCCCCCCATTTTTTCCCCTTTTATTCCCATTTTTTAACCATTTTTCCTCCATTTTTAACCAATTTTCCCCCATTTTTTCATTTTTTTTTTCCTGTTTTTTTCCCAATTTTTCCTCTTTTATTTCCAATATCTTTTTCTTATTTTTTCCTCTTTTCTCCTCATTTTCCCCCCATTTTCCCCCCTTTTATTCCCATTTTTCAACCATTTTTCCTCCATTTTTTAACCATTTTTCCTCCATTTTTTAACCGATTTTCCCCCAATTTTTTTCCCGATTTCCCCCCAATTTTTCCCCGATTTCCCCTTGGATTTTTTCCCGTTTTCGCCCTTTTTTGCCCCATTTCTCACAAGAGGAAGGCCTCGTTCCACACCGGGTTCAGCGTCGCCTTCACCGTCCGCGTTTTCTGCTTGGAGACGTTCTTGGGGTCGGGGATCAGCTTCAGCTTCACGTAGGGATCCGAGAGCCCGTTGGGATCCATCGGGATCAGGTTCCGCGCCTCGCCCACTGCGAATTTGGGG